GGCGACTCCTGCAGGGCTGCCCGTGGTGGAGAGCTTGTACCGAGAGCCAAACGTGGCATGATTCAAAAAGGACTTTGTGAACAACAAAGAGGGGAATGACTTAGCCAACGGATCTACGGTTTCCCCCTCAACTGTTTGATGTCTTACTTTTATTGTCCATCCATCTACCATTACTACTATCTTAAAAATGTGTTAATTGTCACAGGGACGAAAGGGAAAGCAAGGGGAATACAGTCACTGGGGCTGTGAGGAGGCCGTACGGGGGCAGGTGGCAGCCAGACTCACAGGGGGCACCGCTCACGACCAGACTCGTCCAGTCACTGTCGTGCAGCCGACACCACATTACTACCGTGGGTCGGTCACACGATCACACTGTGCTAAATGGAAAGAGGAGTCCCAGCCTAATTCCATACTTAGAGAGTTCCTCCGGAGTACAGAAGAGGTACACGTCCGTACCTGTGACTTAAGAAGTTATGCAGCACACGCCATTACCTGTTTGAGTGTGGTCAACCTTACGAAGCCGAAACTTTACTGTTAATTAGACTTCAGATACTCATATATTGGCTTCCATAAAATACCTGGACTTTGGAAACTTCAGTACAAAAACAGACCCGATAACTAATACAAATAACTGGTCTGCCTAGAGCAGGCGTACCCTGCGAGGCGGACTCACCGGGGGCACTGGGCACTGTCTGTGGCAGGGCCGCTGTCAGCCTGTGGCCCCAAGGCTCCTGGCCGCGGCGGGGCTGGCAGGCGCCCCTCCCGCCAGAGGTGAGGCCTGCGTCTGGCCAAGGAGAGCAGCACGTTCAAGGAGAAAACCGTCAGCGCTCTGAGACACTTTTCAACCACACGTTCTCAGCAAACTGGCTCCTGATCCTGCATATCTCACTCGGATATGAATATTCATCCTATAACCCGGGCGTAAGGAACCACACTCCCAAGAGGGCAGCACTGCATAACAAGAGGGCTAACAAGAGGGCTTCCGAAGAAAAGGCAATTGTGGTCAGTAGCCGTAAGCAAACAGAAGACCCACCCAACGCTGCTTCAGGAAGTGATGACCCTCCATCTGAACTTCTCCAGATATTTTAGTATTTATGGTAAACCGTCTCTTACTAAGACAAGACAGAATGTCGCTGCCTAAACTGCCTGCTGTTTGCAGCGGGGAGCGTCCTTCAGGCTGACCTTCCCTGGGCTCTGAAGAGTTCCCTCCCAGTGTGGGGGGTTACAGTTCACCCAGACGCCAGAGGGGAGGGAGGCCGAGCGGTGGGCGCCTCCAAGGAGAGCCCCGATTGGTTTCTAAGGAACTGGCTTCCCTACAAAGGGAAACCTGCAAACTTAAACATATTAAGAACACTCTGGAAAAGAAAAGCTTGTACAAACATCTCCAGACGAATCTGAACGTTAACACCTGCCCCGGTGGTGCCCACAGACCGTCTGGGGCGCTGGGCTCGTGTCAGAGCCGTGCTGCCCCGCGCTGCTCCATGTGGCGCCCCGGCCACGTCGGGGCTGTGGGGCGATGGCAAGTGTGGGGGAGGGTGTGTGCTCTGAGGTCCCCGCAGCTTTGGGTCCCGCCTCCAGGGAAGCAGGGGAAGGGCAGACAGGCGGTGGCACGGGCCGGGAGGGGAGCCGGGACCAGGGGCCTGGCTTCTCCCACAAGTCACTAGCACAAAGTGGGGGTCTTCTCAACAAGGCGAGATGGGAAGAGTGCAGTGAGCAGACTGTGTTTGGAGCCCAATTTGAACAAACTGGGTATTAACAGGCACTTCAGGCCACGGGGCCAATTCAAGTACATCCTGGTATCAGAGGACAGCAAGGGCTACTGACCCTGTCTCTGTGGTACCAAGTGGGGAGGTGTCCTCGTGCTCCAGAGGTGCACGCAGTTCTGAGGGCAGCTACCAACGTCAGGGCCTACGTGGGAGCACTACAGCACCAAATGCAGAGGAGAAGGAAAAGGACGGAGGCCATGAGCAGGGTCCAGCTCCGGCAACGCTGACCGGGGGACGGCAGGGGTGTGTTTCCTCCCCGTTCTGCTTTTGCGTATTTTGCAAACTTTCTAAATAAAAAGCTAAAAAATCAACTCCAGAAAATGAAGTTTCATTGAGGAAACAACACCCCTTTTCAGGAAGCCCTGGCAGAAGCTGGCGGAGAGAAGCATTTCCTCGAATCTCCAGGACAAGAGAGTGGCGAGGCGCCTGCCGCCGTCCGCAGCCCTGGCTGTGCCGGGGCTGAAGGCCTGGCTCGAACCCACGCCCGTGGGGCCTGCTGCCCAGACACTTACAACAAAACAGGACAGCGTAGGTTGGCTGAGGGCAACACCCCAGGCACATTCATTAGAAGACGGGGAGCCATCCTGACGACTAAGGTCCAGGAAAAGCATTTCACACGTAACAGATAGTAACTCCTCACCGCACAGATCCAAGGTCTGCTGTTTGAGTGACACCAAGGGGAAAACAAAGTGTCTGGAACACTCCACCTCGTGGTCCCCAACTGTCCCGCCTACTGCCCTTCCACCCAGGTTGTGACATCTCTTCACAGACACTAGCCAGCCGACACGACGCCTCCACACTGCGTGGAGGGCAGGCCCAGGGATAAGGGGTGGGCACGTGCCAAGCGCCAGTCCCGCAGACCACAGTCATGACCCTGCGGCGTAGGTTTAAGGCGGCTACAGACACAGAAAATCTGTACGTTCAACAAAAGGCCTTTGCTGGTGTTCAATCACACTGATGACAAAAGAAAGACTGTGCCCCTGCAACAGAGCGCGGGCTACTCGGTGTGTGCTCACGTGCCCCCAAGGCAGAGAACTCGAGGGCCTGCACAGGAACAGAGGGGAGGCCTGCAGTTACCAAGGAACACCGAAGAAACCTGGCCTTTAACATGGCATTGCTCTACTAGCTGAGACCACAAGGAGCAAGCTACAGATACCGAAAAAACAAAACCCAATCTGTGGACTGATTTGACAAAGTCAACAGTGTCCGTCCGCGTTTCCCCTCTGACGTGCACAGATGGACACAGCTGGTGCTGCGGGCAGCCGCCCTGACTTCACGGTGGCAGAGGTCCCAGCCCTGGCAGTGTGCCCGTGGGCTGGGCACGGCCACCTCAGCCTGTCTGCTCATGTGATCTTTCCCACGGCCTCAGAAATAGACACCGTCCATGATGGGGCTTGTTAAAAAGAGCTGGGGACTGTCTACCACACACCACCTCACCAGATGGAAACGACATGCCCATACCAAGAATGAACATCTAAGCCCTTGACCTGTGCAGAGCTCCTGGGGTGCCAATTTTTAGTGAAAAACCCGATCCCTGGGTCTGAAGGAGACAGCGCCGGTGAGAGTTTGCACGCCAACCCTCGGGCAGATTTGTGTGTCCGGTTCTGCTTTTTTCTGCAACCAAATATCTTATATTCCTATTAAGCTAGATAGAAGAAAACAGTTCAAACCTACACTGCATTTAAACCAAAGCTTCTCTAAGCCCCCTAACTAAACACAGCACTGCTTCTGGATGAAGCCTTAGGCACAGAGTGTGCCCTGGGCAGTGCCAGGGACCCTGCCACGTGCAGCTCGAGAGCCCAGCAGGCAGCGAGCTGCAGCCTCCACGGCCTCTCCCAGGATCTGGGCTCTGCAGGGCTTACTCGAGCTTTCGTGCGGTGGCTGGACAAATCAAACAAAACCTCCATCCTAACGAAGCACGAGCAGCTTCATCTTAAAAAGCAGCTGTCGGCATAAAACACATATTCCGTTAAAGGCCAATGTGAATCAGAACTGTGTCCATTCAATACGTATGGCACCAGTTTTTAGTTGAACCAAAGCACATGCCAGAAAAATAAAGCTGTAAAGACTAACCGATCAGTCCCTAGCCGGAAATACTTATCTATCTTAAGCCTTTTAACATCATTTTAAGGAAAAGTTTTATCCTTTGAGATTCAAAACAGAATAATCAATCAGAGGATTAGGAAAAAGAGGACTCTCCAGCCATGAACACAGAATCCCTTCCTCTGTCTAAAAGCGAACAATCTGAGCTCTCACTGCACTTGAGTGTGTGGCTGGGTCATCCTGCAAGGGAGCCCAGGACTGGTCAAGATGGGTTTTTATCTATCCGCTCTCCTGGAGTCAAATCGAAAATGACTCTCTCTCCACTTGTCTGTGCAAAAGGGCTGCTGAAGAAAAGGCTCATGTCTAGGGGGGCCCCAGCCTCAGCGCCCCAGGAATCTGTGTCTGTGCTGCTGGAGTCCTCAGCTGTGGTGGGTGGGTAGCTGAGCTGCTCTAACTGGTCGATGATGTCCGAGAGCTGGAAGGCTGAGCTGGCCTCGGAGCGGACTGAGCAGGCTGGGAAGTTGGCCATGGAGCTGGCCTCAGACTGATTGGCCGAGCTGGGGGTACGCACAGACAAGCCGCTGTGAAGTGGCAAGTTGCTGAGAGAGCTGTTCTCGGACTGGTTGTTCCTCAGCGAGCTGGTCTCCGAGGGGCTCAGCAGGCTCTGCATCAGGCTGGCTTGTGCCTTCACCTCAAACAGCTCGGAGGTGTCCGAGGGGTGCACATCGCCGCCAAAGCCACCCTCTCCCTCCAATGCAAAGCCGTGCTCTACGTGCACGAGCATGGCCTCAGTGGGGTACCTGTCTGGGCTGGATGGGGCGGAGCCGGGGTGAGCACAGGAAGGGGCCTGCGGGCCTGATGCACAGTAAGGGAAGGAAAAGGCCTCTGAGCCTCCAGCAAAGAAGGAGATGTCTGCCGGGTCATCGTCTATGAACTCTTCAGACACCTGCAGCCGGGTGTTTGTCAATGTGAAAACAGGCCCCCCTGCACTATCCTGCCGGCCGTGCGGATGCTCCCCCTCAGCGGGGGCTGGGCCCACGATGAAGCCACTGCCACCCCCATGGTCGCTTTCACCAGCGGCTCTGCGCTCCCTTCCAGCACCCCCTGCACCTGGGTCTACAGTGGTGCCGCGACTCTGCCCCACAGGATGGCTGGGGCTACAACTCCTGACAACATGACAAAACCCAACACCTTGACAAGGCTGCAGCGCAGGAGGCCCCGGGGACCGGGCCCGTCGGGTGTTGCCGTCGGTTGCTGCTCCGCTGCTCCTCTCTGCAGCTGGCCTCCTGGCGTCGGGAGTCTGGGGCTCGGTGAGGGAGTCACTGCTGTCTTTGAAATCGGGCGGGCCTCGAGGGGCCAGAGGGGAGGTAGGAACTGAATAGAAGGAGACATTTGTTGAAGATGGGGACGCAGAAGTCCTCATGCCCTCGGTGAATGAGATGCTCTAGGGATCACAAGTGAAGAAGAAAAAAGGAACACATGAAGTTACAAGTTACCATTAGAAAGCTGCAGAGCTAACTGGACCCCACCTAGTATGGCCACATTTCTACCTCAGCCTCTGCTAAGTAGGGCAATCGACCAGACTTTCCCCATTGGAACTGAAGATTTGTAAATACAGACAGGCTCCAAAAGGACCCAGGATTATCTGTTTAAAATCCCTTATAATTTCATTTTTTCTCCTATGTTATTAAATATCTACACTGAAGAAGAGTTCCATCATGAAAACCTAGCCATGTGTACCCACGTCCCCTGGGTGTCCTGGGTCACCCCGGAGTTGCATGAGGACATGCTGGGGACTCCTCATTTCTGGGGGGCTGTGAGCCAATACCACTCAGCTAACAAGACCCTAAAGCAAAGCACCACAGGCGACGTACATCCAGATTCTGCTGCACTTGGCACTCGCTGCTCAGCGCGTCACTGCCCGGGAGCGGTGAAGTGCGTTGGTACGTTCACACGGGCAGTGAAGACCAGTGGCGCAGGGGCCGGAGGCGTTTCGGCAGGGCTGGCGCAGCCCCCGGCATGAGTGAGAAGAGGCTCACAGGCGAGGGGGGAGCCCGGCCCTCACTCGTAGCCCCACACACGGGGACATGGAGTGAGTCCTCACAAGACAGTCATGCCTCTCAGAAGCTCCAAATGACACGTACACTCACAACATCATCAAGAGGGTGTTTAGACCAAAATATCACCCAACGGTCCTGACTAACTTGTGTGTGAGGAGCAGTGTGCAGCATGGGCGAATGCTGAGGTAGAAGCCACAGCGGCGACCGACCAGCAACAAAACAGCAGCTCTCAAGCAACAGGTTAATGTGCTCAGATGCTCATCACAGCACCTTTTCCTCATCATTCAACCATATTCAACATTCTCTTGTGGTTTTATAAAAGACAGTATCAGGGGCGCCTGGGTGGCTCAGTCGCTGGGCATCTCCTTTGGCTCAGGTCACGATCCCAGGGTCCTGGGATCGAGCCCCGCATCGGGCTCCCTGCTCCTCAGGAAGCCTGCTTCTCCCTCTCCCACACCCCCTGCTTGTGTTCCCTCTCTTGCTGTGTCTCTCTTTAAATCTTTAAAAAATCTTAAAAAAAAAAAAAAAAAGTATCAGAACTGAAAGCTTAAATGCAGTTTTTAGATATTCATATTATATATTCATACTATAATATTCATACTGTTTTATTTATTATCTAAATAGGCTCCACACCCAATGTGGGACTTGAACTCATGACCTCCAGGTCAAGAGGTGCCCGGCTCTCCTGACTGAGCCAACCAGGTGCCCCCATGCATACTCTTTTAGACTATTCAAAAAGTTGAACTTTGTTAAAAAAAATAAAATAAATTCTTTTAAATTTTAATTGATTTAAAAAAATTTTTTTTAATTGATTTAGCAAAAAATTTCTAAATAGAAAACATACCTAGAAGAGCTAAAGAATGTTTTTATTTAAAAGACCTAATTTAAAAAGTTTGGGACACGTGAGCTTTGATAGATGAGGTGCAAGTGTAGCTTCTGGAAATACTGTAACGATATGAATGGCCAACTGTCAACAAAAACTAACACTGTAGAGAAATAAAAAATCATCAATATGAACCTACATAGCCGCCTGAGGGGGCAGTTATGATATCACATGGTGAGAGCGAGATTCTCTGTGAAAGTGTGCTTGCGTGTGGAAGCTGATGTGCAAACCTGAAAACAGGAAGCTTCTAGTGGGGCAGATGGAGGCAGAGGACCACCCATGCCTGCCACACCGGCTCTTTCCGCTGCCTCCACATTCTGGACGCTGGGGCCGAGCGTTTTTCTGTGAAGTATTTGTGTGCGCCCGCGTGTGCCCTTGCTTTCATGGTTGTAATCATGCCAAACACAGATATAAATTTGTTTCCTGCTTTTTACCCTTCACGTATTAGCAAAAAATCTCACTCTGTGAATCTAGCTTAATGAAGTAAACTAGTTCCCTAAGCTGGCATTTTACATTGTTTCTAACATAAAGGTAATATTCATTCAGTTGTTTTCCTGGAAACAAAAAGCAGTGTGAGCCCACTGCAGAAAACTAAAAGTACAAAGAGAAAATAAAATTGCCTGGAGCGGGCGCCTGGGTGGCTCAGATGGTTGAGCGTCTGCCTTCGGCTCAGGTCATGGTCTCAGGGTCCTGGGACTGAGTCCCGCATCGGGCTCCCTGCTCCTTGGGAGCCTGCTTCTCTCTCTCTCTGTCTCTCATGAATAAATAAATAAAAATCTAAAAAAAAAAATTGCCTGGAGCCCTGTCACTCAGAGAGGACACGTGACACTGAGGTTCATGCCTCTAGCTTGTCCTCTCTGGGCATCCGTTTGTCACTTCAGCTCAGAATGAGACCTTATTACACAGGCTGCTCTGCAACCTGCTCGTTTCACTTGCTAACCCATTCTCGAGTGTCCCTAGCCACACACTGTTTTCCTAAAACGACCCGTTAGTGGTTCTCGAGCACTCCTCATCAAATGGGCACACCCAGGACTGTGCTAGTGAGTTGCCCCGCACAGCTGGTGGTGGTCTGGATTTCAAGCGTTACAAAAACACGAAGCTTTCTCCTTTCTTAGGACCCCTCTTCTGCAAACAGCCCCAGGATTGCAATCTCCACAAAAACAGCAGGACCGACTCTAAGACTCCTGTTACAGCAATGCCACGGTATCCTCCGAAGGAGCGCAGGTGATTAATACCGTGTGAGTTTCAACCAGAAGGACTAACCTGCCTTGGCAAGTCTGCAGTCAGAGCACGAATAGACATCCGAGTCTTGCTGTGTCTTCTGCAAACAGAGAACAAGGTGTGAGCCACCACGCCCACCTCTCCTGGTACCTGTGCCGAGGGCAGCCGAGCCCTGGGGAAGAACGGGGCTCAGGTCTGCTAACCTGCCACAGACGTCTAGCTAGAAACAGGCAGGTGACAGAAAGCGAAAACTCAAAAAACAGATGTTGTAGAAGAGGTAAAATTATCTCCCGCACTGAAGAAAAATTCCACACGCAAAAAAAAACTAGACGAATTTTCAGATTCAAAAGTTACCATGCTACATGAAAATCTTCTATGTGAGATGAACTACACAGAGTAGAGCCCCAACAGCAGGACCTGAGGCTGTGCACATCACCTGCATCGAGATGTTCACCCATTATCTTTAAAAGATAATTTGACTCAAGGGTCAAAATACATGTTTATGTATGTATGTGTTTAAATAAAGGTTAAAATATGGGAATATTGATTTTAAAAGCACATACTTCACAGCATAAAGACCATGGTGCTTACCTTTCGTATGGAACTCTCTTCACCCCACTGTCTCTGACGTAATCCACCAGCTGTTTCTGAGTTCTTCCACTGTGAATAAAGGTTCAGATTTTAAAGAAAAGAGCCAACAGCAATTCACAGCATTAATCTTCCACAGAGGCAAAGTAACACTTGCCAATCCTCTAAGTTCACACATACGTTTTATAGCTATGCTTCGTAGGAAGCATGCCGGATATTCTATAGTTTCTATCAAAGCTATTTTTCCCATTGTTTTACTTGATACGCTTCTGCCAGCTTGCCTCGCTGCATGCTGCATGTAATTCTCTGACACACTTGACAGCGACATCTCAGCCCTACAAAGCTGCCAGAGCCCACCGGGTGCATGGTGCTGCCCCACCTGTATCTGAAGGACGAGCCCCTGCTGAAGAAGACGGCTTTAGCTTTGGCCTTAGGTTGATCAAAGAGTCTAAAGAAGCTGTGATACTCCACACAGATCTTCCAGAAGTTCTTGCATTCATCTCTACTGCCCAACAAGAACTCCAGCGTATCCTGGTAAGGTCCCTAGAAACAAAACACGAAGGTTCAAAAGTAACTAATTCAAGAACATTCAGGAAGCATTCAGATAACAGGCTATTTATTCCAATGTTAAAAATCAGGAAAATATTTTTTTCTGAAAATTATCTATAAAGACTTCTGGTGCCATTTACATTTAAGAGAAGAAAAGTGGTATACACATATTCACTAGAAATTATCAGAAGAATGCAGTCACCCACGATTACACAACTGCTAACGTTTCCAAGTGCACCCTTGGGACACATCCCACAAGGCAAACCAGGGCATCTTCTCTGTCAGCCAACTCTTTATATGCCGTTGCCCAATCATTTTCCTGTGGGGTTCTGGGGGTGTTCTGGATGTCCAGGACACATGATTTTAAAGGCTCACATATGTCATCTTCAAGCAACTACTGCATTCTCTCTCATAGTTATTCCTCAGGACAAATTCTTAGAAATGTTACAGTGAGCTTAAAATAATGCACATGAAAAAAATGGTATTTATTTATTTTAAGTAATCTCTGCACTAATCATCTGGCTGGAACTCATGACCCTAGAATCAAGAGTCACACGCTCCCACCGACAGAGCCAGCCAGGTGCCCCAACAATGCACACTTGTGAGCCTTGTGACATCCTACCGAATTACCTTCCAGAAAGACCATCCTACCTGGACTCCTATATTCAGTCTTTGAAATCTAAGTGCTGAGGGACGCAAGCTGCAACTCTGCCATTGGCAGGTGTCGTCAGGGCTCTGAGCCCCCGTGTGCCAGAGCAGTGATCCCCCTCGTTCCCACGCTTGTCAGAACCGCCCCGGAAACAGTTCTGGTACTCAGAGGAAAAAGCAGCCCTTTACCTGCATTTTGTGTATGTTTTTCGTATTCCTTAGACTTTCCTTTCATTCCTACAACAGATATTTGAACAAGAAACAAGCCACCTTTTGTGCTTCTGCAGAAAGTAAATGCGCATGCAGCACGTGCACCTGCTGTTTGACCAAAGCTCTGGCTGACTGAATGCCTTTCAGAAGCTTAGGGCCCACCACTCATGGTGTGTCTCCGTCGAGATAGCCCCGTCAGCCTCCTCCTGCAGCGGCGTGGCTGATCTACTCTCAGTTCCTAACCTCCTCTGTGCACTGGAAATGTACCAACTTGGACACCTTCGAATCGCGCTTTAAGTATTGGATTTTTCCTATCAGACTGGATAGATATGTACTTTTTCCCATCTTTACCCATTTCAGTAAATTCCCATGTAATTATTATTTTATTGACTGATAATCTCAAAAGGAAGGAGTATTTATTTTCTGAAAATCAAGGCTTCTCCCATTAGAGTTAGCAAAAGGTCAATTTCTGAATACGTCCTGGGAATGTCCCTTACTCTGGACAGAAGCTCTAACGCTAATCTGCTGTAGGGCTTCAGATCACAGTTAAATACCTCGTGTCTCAGCCTCCTAACCTAGAGAACAAAGACGCTGTAATCAACTGATTGTTCTCAGCAGCCCCTGTGAGCTTCTCTCTTTCACCTCAGACCTGCTGAATCTGAAATCCGGCCCAGCGATGAGTGGTGTAAGCAGCCCCTCAGGGATGCTGACCCATGCTCAGGAGCAAGACCTACAGGGCAGATTACCCAAATCCCATCCTTAAATTCTTGTGTGCATGATGTGTGCATTATTCATAAAATTAATTAACAAGTCAATATTCTAGGAGAATAAATTTTCTTGTAATTCAGAAAGTGCTTGAAATCATACTTACACGGACCTCTGCGTGCAGTTTGATGAGAAACCTTTTCCTCTTGAAGCTGAGTTTTCGGACCCTGGACCAGTTGAAAGTGTTAATTTTGGTGGTGCCCTGAAATTCAAGAGATGGACACTCAGACACATTTGTAATCCAGACACACACACGCAACTTTTCATGAAATAGAGAATGTTTAAATTACAACCTTGCCAGATAGCACAGCAATGCACTTGACATTTTATAATTGTATCTGGAATGACTCTGAATTAAACTGTCCACACTAAACATGGGAATGTACTTGTTTTAGGGCAGTAACTTGACTTCTTTGATAAGGTTTTCTTACAAATTACTTCTTATCAAGGCCAATACTGAACACTCCTTGAAGTGCACTCCTGTAAGAGGGTGGTCAGGAGGAGCGACAGTGGTGGCCAGGCGGGGGCGGGAGCAGAGCCGGGATTCCCGCTGCGGGGGTGGGGAATGCTGGGCCGGGCCGTGGGGCAGTGCCCGGGAGTGGCAGCTGGTAGCACGAGCTCTAGACTCTTGGAGTAGCTCTGGGCGCGCTGAGTGCATGCGGTTTGGGCTTCTAGATCCGATGCTCCACTGGAAAGACCAGGGCTCTTCGGTCTTCGGGGTGAAGTGGGCCAAGCACAAACTGACCCTGGAATATCTTGTCTAAGAAAGTAAATGAGTGCTCAGCGGGATGGTACGAGCCCAGCAGACACAAGCGCCTGCTTGGAGGGATGTCCAAGGGCCAACGTGGGACAATTCACAGACCAAAATAAACAGGGACAGCAGCAGATTATCAGTCGTCAGAGTATAACCCGAACTGTTAGAATTCAAACTGTGATGCGAGTGTAATACAAATCCACGAGTCCACAGTGGTATGAAGTAAGCAAATGCAGAGAAAACCCTTCCAGGAGCACAACAAATGGCATCAAAAAAGTCACCATGTGGCAGCCCTCAGAGAAATCCAACCAGGTGAGTGGGTGAGGTGCAGACATGTACGTGGCCTCTCTCCACAAACGGCTTATTAGTCACCAAGGACAAGAAGAACCTTTGCAGTACAGCAGCCTGTCAGCGCCGTCTGACCAAGTGCTCAGTGCTGACCCCGCCAGCGACAGCTGGCACCACGGGCCACCCCGAAGCCGTACCAGGAACACCGTCACTTCTGTGACTTACCCAAGAAGCTCAGCCTAGGGTCTGATCATCAGCAAGTGTTCAACAAGCCCGTATCATGGTCATTCCACAGAATGGCCTGTAATCACCAGAATCAGGGAAAGAAGGAAGAATGTTCCAAACTGGAAAGAGCAGATGACCGTGCACGGCGCCTGACCTTAGATCTCTTGCAACAAACAAGATTAGGGCAACTGGTGAAATCTGGATGGAGGTCTCAGGTGAAGAAGTTCTTTGTACTGTTTTTTTTTTTTTTTTTTTTTTTAAGATTTTATTTATTTGACAGAGAGAGAGCATGAGCAGGGGGGAGTGGCAGAGGCAGAGGGAGAGGGAGAAGCAGGCTTCCCGCTGAGCAAGGAGCCCGATGTGGGGCTCGACCCCAGGACCCTGGGATCATGACCTGAGCCGAAGGCAGATGCTTAACCAACTGAGCCACCCAGACGCCCCTCTTTGTACTGTTCTTGTAACTTTTCTGTAAGCTTTGAACTGTTTCAGAATAAAAATTCAATTTTTTTAAAAGATTATTTATTTATTTATTTATTTGAGAGAGAGAATGAGATAGAGAGAGAGAGAGCATGAGAAGGGGGAGGGTCAGAGGGAGAAGCAGACTACCCGCCGAGCACGGAGTCTGATGCGGGACTCGATCCCGGGACTCCAGGATCATGACCTGAGCCGAAGGCAGTGGCTTAACCGAGCCACCTAGGCGCCTTAAAAATTCAATGTTTTGAGACACCTTCCTGGTATTCTCCCCTCTACTCTTGACCATCGTGATCATTTTCTCTGCAAACCTGAGATGGGGGCAGGAAGGTAGGGAATGAAGTTTCCCTTCAGAAACTCCAAAAACCTTCAACCTTAAAAGGGGATGGGACTTGACGCATGCCACCACATGGACCTGTTCTGAAAACAAGGGAAGAAGCCAGGCGTGTGGACCCAGTTTAGGTGCGGAGCCCGGAAGGAGGAGAGCCTGAGGCAGGGCGTGGCTCAGTGGCAGTCAGGGCGGGAAGTGGGTGATTAAAATCACTCTGGATTACATAGGGTGATGGCTGCATGATTTTGTAAACACACTAAGAATACATGAATGTGTACTGGAAAGTGGTAAAGTTTATCGTCTGTGATTTACATCTCCAGGAAAACAATTCCCAAGTTAAGAGGTGTCCTGAAAGCCCTGATAGGAATGTTCGGGTCTCCATGAGAACTGAAGCATCCCAGATTGCCAAATACTGCCCAAGCCACTAATTACTCTAATTTCTGCTCAAATTTTCAACTATGTTCTCAAAAAAAGCAAGCAAACAAAACAAAAATAACCCAAATACGTAACATCAACAAAAGAAAACAGAAGTGGGGCGCCTGGGTGGCCAAGTCGTTAAGCGTCTGCCTTCGGCTCAGGTCATGCCAGGGTCCTGGGATCAAGCCCCGCATTGGGCTCCCCACTCCGCGGGAAGCCTGCTTCTCCCTCTCCCACTCCCCCTGCTTGTGTTCCCTCTCTCGCTGTGTCTCTCTCTGTCAAAAAGTAAATAAAATCTTTAAAAAAAAAAAAAAAGAAAGAAAGAAAACACAAGCCTCCCTCCTGCGTCCCGCCCACCACGCCCGCCACCCCCACGCCATTTTTAACTCCAGACATGGTTTATGTGCCTGGGCAGGGGCTGTGAGCAAGGTAGAGACAGTGTGTACCCCCCAGACAGACACGGACCAGCTGAGAGAGGTCTCACACACAGGTGCTGCCAGCCTGCTCACCCTTCCACTTCCTTGTAGCCAAAATTTAAAAAAAATGTTATATTCCAGGGTTTCAACCACTGTCATAAGTCAAAAGAAGAAACAAAACCCGATCACAACTGGAGTGTTCATGAACTCTGCCTCACCCTGACAGACTCTGACTTTTCAACTTCTAAAATTGAGCAGCTGGCTGTAAACACTCAGAGCTACTGCTTTCATTTTAATTTTTATCCAATAATCCATGGCATTAATTATAAATGTCTAGGAAGGCTTGAGACAAAACCCAGCCATTCTGGGCCCTCTTGCTGGGATGGCACTCCCTTCAGCAGCTCTCGCTCCTGCTGGAGACCCGGCCTCCTGAGCACTCCCACACCCCCTCCGCGGTGGCCGAATTTTAAATTTGGTTTTTATATTATTTTTTTTTTTTTAAATATTTTATTTATTTATTCATGAGAGACAGAGAGAGAGAGAGAGGCAGAGGGAGAAGCAGGCTCCCAAGGAGCAGGGAGCCCGATGCGGGACTCGATCCCAGGACCCCGGGATCATGACCTGAGCCGAAGGCAGACGCTTAACCATCTGAGCCACCTAGGCGCCCGGTTTTTATATTATTGATCATGTGAGTACTTCTCACAGGTTGAGCCATGGTAAATCGTAACTATTTTGCTCCCTTACTTTCAGTTCTCCCTGAGAGACTAAGTGCCTCTTTCCATTTACTCAATTTTGTGTTCTTACCACTAATTCAGCCCAAACTCTCCCTGCAGAATTTTTTTTTTCTTCTTTTAGATTATTTATTTTTTAGAGAGCAAGAGAGCACAAATGGGGCAGAGGGAGGAGAGAGAAAACCCTAAGCAGACTCTGCATCGATCGCAGAGCCTGATGGACGCTTGATCTCACAACCCTGAGATCAGGACCTGAGCTGAAACCAAGAGTCGGACGCTCAGCCGACTGAGCCACCCAGGTGCCCCATCCCTGCAGAGTTTAACACTCTTCAGTGGGGTCTGATCCAGGAGACAATTCCCTCCATGCTGCTCGCATGCTGATGGGTGCTCCCTGGGCCAGGCCTCCAAAGTGTGGCCCATCTGCCGCTGGTCTGTTCTCTCCTCTGGTCGTGTGCTTTAAAAGGTGCTCAGCAGTCAAACCTTTGAAAAACTGTGTATCTGGAAAATGCTTTTATTTCCTCTGCACAGAAGTCATGTTGAACAGGGCACAGGATCCTGGGTGGGAAATGATTTTCTTTCACGTTCTGCACCACTGCCTGCCCTATTTCTCATAGCTTCCAGTGTTGCCCCTGACAAGCCAGATACCATTTCCTTCCCTCTCCTCCTGGGAGCTCTCTGGTCCTCTCCCCCATTCTGACATTTCATGCTGGTGTGTCCTGCGGTGATCTTTACTCGTCAGCTACACTAGGAACGTGCAGGCACTTCCAATATGGACACTCGTGCCTTAAGTTCTGGACACGTTTCTCACGTGATTTCGGTAACGGTTTCTTCTGCTGCTCTGGGCTGTGGCCTCTGGGCATCCTGGTGCTGGTGGGCTTTCTGTGCTGTTCGCTGAATGGTCACTTTCCTCCTATATCGTGAGTCCTCTATCTGCTCTATGGAGATTTCCTCAACTTCATGTTCCAGACAGCCTCAGTCCTTTCTGCTACCACATTTCCGCAACACCACAGATCCGCAAACACTCCTGTCCTCCGTGTGTCTCTGTGACTGCAGACTGCTCGTGTCTCAGAGATGCAGGCTTTCTGTGAGGCTTTCCGGAAAACGTAAGGCAGTGATGTATCAACAAGGTTCTAAACCTCACCAGGATGAGTCTGCAGGGAAAAGCCCCTTCTCACCCGCTCCCAAAGCCTGCAGCTGCCCTCCCTTCCCACTGGCTGTCAATGCCACCTGTTTATTTTGAAAGGTGTAAAGAGTGTGTCATTTTCCCTCTTTTCCCCACAAGTAGGAGCAAACTACACACACTTGAATCCACACAACAGTGCATCTGAATGTCCCACGTATCACGACACAGAAAGCCTCCACATTCTTTGTGCAGTTGCCTGATATTCCATAATGTGAATGAACCAGCCTCCTGATGATCAATTACCATTATTTTACTATTATAAATAAGGCTAAAATTTAAAATTATAAGACAAAGATTTTACATGTCTGATTCCTACTCCTCATGAGCATGACACAGTGTAAAGCGATTTTTCTTTCTTGTCCATGGGACAGATAGAAGACAGTGTCTTCTCTGAGGAGTCTAGAGGGTTTGTTTCTCCATTCCATTCCTGGCACAGGCTGTTTCTTCTGAACACTAATTTGGTATCTGTCCTTGAAGAGAGAGGATTTCCTCAAATTTCTGGTGATCCCTGGTTATCTGCCTGAGTTTAAAAGTGAGGTCCTAGGACTGTAAGAGTCTGTGACCATCTGGTCACTGGGTGTGAAATCTAGGGGTGATCTGGAGAGGGACAGGATAACTACATGGTCTTAAAGGTGTCTCTCCACGGACTGCTTATGGGTTTAAAAACTAGTAACTATAATAACCAGTAATAACTAAAGCTAGTAACTATTAACCAAGACTAGTAATTAAGAACTACAAAGCAGGAATCAAGATTCACACCACCAGTGAGGCTGGATGGTGTCTCAGTCGTGACTCCCTGTCAAGGACGTGACAGCGCTTGGGTAGTGGTCCAGCTGGGAATGTGTCCCCTGAACCTAATCCCGGGACAAGAGCAGACAAACCACAAATGGAGAACGTCCTATTAAAAATAAAAAGGACTGTGTTCTTCAACACTGTCTATGTCCTAAAAGATGAAGAAAAAAGAAATGCTCTAGTTTCAAGGACACAGCACACGCGATGGCTAAACACCGTGTCTGGTCCTAGCCTGGGCCCTGTCCTGCAGGGATAACAGCCATGAGGACATCAGCTGGCTGGGTGATAAGACTGGAAGATGACCAGCACATCAGCTGCTTCATGATAATGATAAGGCACTGTTCTATTCTTACAAACGTATGCCTTCAGTGGTCAAGGGTTCTGGAGTCTGCAACCCATTCTCAAATGTGTCAGAAGACTTGTGCATGTGTGTGCACGTGTGTTCACGTGTGGTTGTGCACGTACACAGAGTGGGGGTGAGGAAGCATGCCAGGGGGAAGTGCAAACCACAAAGCAAATGTGTAAAATGCCGGAACGGGTGAAATCTGGGGTTAGGGCACATGGGGGCTCTCTGTGCTGTTCTAATTCTTACAGCTTTTCTGTAAGTTTGAAACTATTTCCGAATAAAAGTCTTTAAAACAGAAGGCTCTAAAATGCTGGCTGGAGGCTCTTTGTGGGCTGGGGTAGGGACCCAGGCCCATTACTATGCGGTGTCCCAGGGTCAACACCTGCAGGGCTCCCATAAGTCCACGTGGACTTTCTGGACATCACAGTCCCCTGTCTCTAAGATGTCAGCTTGGCCACCATTCCAAGGGAGCAGAGACGGGGAGGGCCCACGGCAACACTGAGATTACAGGCTTTCCCTTAAATCTCTACCATCTGAGCCATACCCTGGAGAGGAAGACCCCTGCCCTCTCCCAGCACAGGGAGGGGCTGCAGCTCTGCAGCTGTACCTCCTCCTCCCACGGTGACATCAGGCTGCCGGCCCCAGCCTGCCCCGGGCCGTCAGACAGCAGCCTGACTCCCCCACTCCCCTCCCACTGCAGACTGTGGGATTTCAGCCTTTCCTACTCCGCGCTGTTCCCACTCATCTGCCCATCTCCCGCTGACACTCGCCTTCTGTGATTTCCTTATCTAGTCTTTGTTCTTACTAGTTTAAATTAAAAAAAAAAAAAAAAATCCTTCATTGTCATTCTGTTGGGGGTTTGAGGGAATAAAAATGCCATCTGATGTGTTTAATTTGAAGTCTCTAATCCCTGCTTTTAACTTCTTCCAGTTACAAATTTATCCTTTTCTGGAAAAATTACCCCAGCTCGATTGGGATGGATGTGTGATTTTCATCTCTGCACGATACAAGAACTATCATGTGAGCGAGAAGGTGTGGGAGGCCCTGGGTCCATCAACTCAGTGTGCCTGGCACGGTCTCCACCTGTCAGTCAGTATACGATAGAACACAATTAACACTGTTTACAAGATAAGATTTTTTTCCCCCAATAGGAAATTGAAAATTTGATGGCTAGGTTAAAAAAAGAAAGGGAAAGAAAAAGAGAACAAGTGTGGCTTGACTATGGGGGCCTGGATCAGCTGAGCCGTCTTAGCTGACCGTGGGTTAAGAGGAGCCCACAGAGGAAAGAGCCGCTGATGCAGCCCCTGGACTCCCAGGACGCACCCTCCCACGGCGGTCAGCGCTGAGCAGGCCTTTGCAGGATGTCTGTGTGCAACTGGAGGCCCACAGCTTTGCAAAGGCCAGACCAGAGGGCTCCCTAGAGGGGGGATCGCAGCAGCAAGCGGGCCACTGAGCCTGGGTAAGAGGGTGTGGGAGCCCGTCCAGCGTCTCCAGGCCACGGAGGGCCTGCGCTCTAGCAGCTGCTTTCAGATGCCTCCACACCACAAACCCCAGCACACACACGCTTCACTGCAGGCAGAACTTAGTGGCCCTTTATGGAACCGTCGGCCCCTCCACACACAACCAACACAAAGATACCCGAAGATCGTACTGATGGTTATCATGCGCAACAGCCTCTGACAGTTTCAGTCTGTTCTATTTCTATGTCCTGAAATGAGGACCGCAGACACCTCACAGTGCAGCACGTCCAGACCTGCCGCAGGTCCACGCCCGAGGCAGGGAGACAGCTCCACAGGGAGGAGCCCGTGTTTCCCTGAAGGTTCTGTGGGGATGACCTTAGGGTCAACATCAGAGGTGGCATGTGACCAGGCGCCCAGGGCGGGGGCAGGGCAGAGGGCTCTGCGACAGTGAGGACAGAGACAAGGAAACAACCGTTCCACTCCACGGAGTGAGAGGTGGGACCAGAAGATATGCAAGGTTCCTCCTCCAAGTCCAAGACCTTATGCATGACAACAAAAATTTACCAGCACGTGTAAAATCAAGCCCCACCAAGTCATAGCACACCCCCGCACTCCCTACCTGGAACACGAGGACACCCATGTGGGAGACAGCCAGGTTAATTCTGGCCCCCTCCCTGTCAGAAGCTCTGTGAAATCTGAGGCCATACATTTCCAACTTTCGGGCAATTTCAAGCACCTGGAAATCCGACTCGGCAGGCGTCTGGCCCCTATAATAAAGGACGGCATGATCACAGCACTGAAAACAACTTCATTTCTCAAAAAGCCAAAACATACAACAAAATTGATTAGGAAAACAAAACACAATAAAACAAACCAACACAAGGGGCTTTGTTTCAGAGTAGACTGCTCACTGTAAGTTTATTTACCCACTAGAAATGCAGCATACCGCACACACAGACCAAAGAAATTGTCTGCTTCCTTTTATCCTATAATCCATTTCCTGATGGGCAGAATGTTTTCTTTGTATTCACTAGATGCTCAGCCTTATACTTCGTCCTAAATACTGACACAGTCACATGCAAACGTTACACACAGAGACAAATATTAAATGCAGGAAACACCAAAGATAACATCAGTATCTCATTCAACTCATTTCAATACTCTAATAGAAAAAAACCTTTTATAATATACAATTCTAACCATTAGAATATACTTTTTTAAGGATAAAATTATGAAACTGAGTGACAAGAAATTTCTCAAGTTCACAGTCCCGTCATGCTCCCAGGGAAGAGCCCATGACCCATGTCACACGGACCAGCCTCCAGGAGGGTACTGCTCAGACAGGGCACAGCTGGGCCAAGGGGAGAGGGTCCTAGTCAGAGCACCCCCACTCAAGGCCTGAGCCTTACACGTGGGGCTCTCCATCAACAACCTTTCCTCTTACTTCCAAATGCCTGACAGCTTTCAAATCTCTTTTTTTTTTTTTTTAAGATTTTTTATCTGAGAGAGAGCACGAGGGGGCAGTGGGGAGGAGCAGAGGGAAAGAGAATCAATCTTAAGCAGACTCCCGGCTGAGCAAGCGCTGAGATCACTGCCCGAACCAATACCAAGAGTCCAATGCTTACCCAAATGTACCACCCAGGGTCCCCTGAGCTTTTGGATCTTTAAGGAACAACACAACTGTCTGGGTTATGCCGTTCCCATGGTTTCTATTCTTGGACTAAAATTTCCATTCTTGGAGTTTGATATGGACGCTCGACTATCAGCTTATATTTAATAAATCATCATCAAGAGAAACACCGTGTGACAACCGTTTTCTAAGGTGTCCTAATGGGGAAGATTTGCTTATTACTTTTTAATTTTTTTTTTTTTTTAATTTTTAGTAGGCTCCATGTCCTATGTGGGGCTTGACCTTATGACCCTGAGTTTAAGAGTTGCATGCTCTATTGACTGAGCCAGCCAGGCGCCTCAAGATTTGCTCATTCTTAATGCTTCCAGTGACCACTGCTGCAGCTTCGGAGCGGGGTGCCAGGCAGAGGCTGGGGGCGTTCTGAGGTGTAGCTAGAATCAGGGAGGCTAAGGGAGAGTCTGGTGAGGACTCAGAAGGAAAGAGCGGAGAAAGCCTTTCTTCTCAGAAAAGCTCTAAGCCTTTGTGAACAGAATTGGGTAGATATGAGGATGGTAAAGGCTATTCTGGTGCGGTCTCAGAAGTGAGGAATACGTTATTGGAAACAGGAGATAAGGGGCGCCTGGGTGGCTCAGATGGTTAAGCGTCTGCCTTCGGCTCAGGTCATGATCCCGGGGTCCTGGGAGGGAGCCCCGCATCGGGCTCCCTGCTCAGCGGAGAGTCTGCTTCTCCCTCTGACCCTCCCCCTTCTCATGCTCTCTCACTCGCTCAAATAAATAAAAATCTTAAAAAAAAAACAAAAAACAAAAACCAGGAAACAGGAGATAGGTGATCCTTTTTGTAAAGTGGCACAAAATTTGGCTGAATTATATTTATGTCCTGAAGTGTTTTGTGGAGGGCAGAACTTGCCAACAACGGGACTGGATTCTTGGCTGAAGAGATCTCTAAGCCAAGTCGGGAAGGTGCGGCTGGGCTCCTCTGACTGCTGATAGGAAAGCGCAAGAGAGAAGTGCCTGAGAGATGGAAGTGTGAAACAAAGAGGAAACAGAATTTTAAGATTAGGAAAATGTTCAGCCTATGCATACTGCAGAACATGAGGACACTAAGGGTGTGGCTAAATGGCTGAGGAGATCAGTATGGACAGAAATCAGGCAGTGGGAGAAGGACCCCAAAGGCAATCAGGTCAGGGCTGCCCCTCCCATCACAGGCCAGAGTGGAAGGTGGAGGGGGTTGGGGGCCCCAAGGCCTCCACGGGGTTTCCAAGGCCAAGGCTGCCTGGAGGGCAGAGCACTGAGCCAAAGAGGATTATTCCTGAGCCTTAAAGTCTAACGTCATTTGCCCTGCTAGGTTTTAGGCTTGTCTGAGACCTGTTATCCTTCCCTTTGTTCCAATTTCTCCCTTTAGAGGAGAGTGGCAATCCTATGCTGTCGCCCAGCATAGTATTCTGTTTGCACAGGCTCACAGCTGGAGGAGACTTGGCCTCAAGCAGAACCATAGCTGGAATTCCAGCCAGACCTCATCAAGATGAGATTCAGGAGAGGCTGTGGGCTTGGGAGGGTTTTGGAGTCGGTGCTGGAGCAGTGGGAACGTTCAGGCTGTTGGGATGGAATGAATATATTGTGCATGTGAGGAGAACATGAATTGTGGGGGGTGGAATGTTACAGGGTGAAATGTCTGTGTCCTCCAAAATTCCTAGGCTGCAGCCGAACCCCCAGTGTGATGGTATTTGGAGGGGGTCTTTGGGAGAGGACCGTGTAGAGGACTAATGAATATTAGTGCCTTCAAAGCAGAGGCTCCGGGGAGCCCCCAGCCCCTTCCGCCCTGAGAGGACAGAGCAAGAGATGTCATCTATGAAATCGGAAGCAGGTCCCCCGCACGCCGAATCCACCAGTGCCTCCAGAACTGTGAGAAACCAAGGCCTGTGGGCTACAAGCCGCCCAGCCTGGGGTGCTCGGTTACAGCAGCCACGAAGGACCGAGAGAGCAGCTTTCAAATCTTTTCCTTCAATCTCAAAGGTCCAAAGAACTGTGATAAAAGTAAAAAACCATTCCTTCAATATCTTACTCAGTGATTACTGAAGTGTGTTTCCAGTGGGCCCAAGAAGATACTATACACTAGGCAAGAAATTTATCTTGGTTAGGGGCGCCTGGGTGGCTCAGTCGGTGAAGCGTCTGCCTTCAGCTCAGGTCCTGATCCCAGGGTCCTGGGATCGAGCCCCACACTGGGCTCCCTGCTCAGTGGGGAGCCTGCTCTCCCTCTGCCTCTGCCGCTCCCACTCGTGCTAGCTCTCACTTTCTAGTGCTCTCCCTCTCAAATAAATAAATAAAATCTTAAAAAAAAAAACCCACCATAAAAAAGGATGTACAGAAAAGAAGTACAGGGGCACCCGGATGGCTCAGTTGGTTAAGCGACTGCCTTCGGCTCGGGTCATGGTCCCGGAGTCCTGGGATCGAGCCCCCACATCGGGCTCCTGGCTCAGCGGGGAGCCTGCTTCTCCCTCTGACCCTCTCCCCTCTCATGCTGTTTCTCTCTCTCTCTCTCAAATAAATAAATAAAATCTTTAAAAAAGAAAAGAAAAGAAGTACAAGAAGTATCCGATGACTATGGAAGATAAAGTCAGCACATGAGAACCATGAGAGCCGACCGGCTGGCTCTGTCGATGGAGCATGTGACTCTTGACCTCGCGGTTGTGAGTTTGAGCCCCACATTGTGTGTAGAGATCACTTAAAAATAAAAATCTTTAGGGAAAAAAAAAAAGAACCAGCTCAGGGATGGAGGCACTCCTGTGGAAAGAGCCCAGGTTTAGTCCTCTATGAAGCACATAACCCGATTTCTCCTCTGACTTTCACGAGTTTTATATATATATATTTATCAATCAATCAGAGAGAGAGAGAGAGAGAGCACAAGCAGGGGGAGCGGCAGGCAGAGGGAGAAGCAGGCTCCCCACGGAGCAAGGAGCCCGATGTGGGACTCGATCCCAGGACCCTGGGATCGTGACCTTAGCCGAAGGCTTAACCAGCTGAGCCACCCAGGCGCCCCTTTCATGAGTTTTTAAAGCAGCCACCTTAAGACACACACCTAACATGCGCACATACACACTCCGTGTGGGCACATGAGCACAAGCGTGCACAGACGCCCTCACTGGGGCACCTTTGTTCGCTCCCAGGTGGCGCTCAGAATGAGGGCTCACAGACCTGCACCATTCCCTCACCTCGCTTCCAGTGTGAGCCTGGCCTTCACCCTGAGCCTCACCTCACAGACACGCCTGTGTCCCGACTCGCCAGGCCTGGTGCTGACCCCCAGCCCGAGGCGCTGTGCCCTTTCCTGACACACTGTCCCTTGGTGTCCGAGGCTCTCTTCCTGCTCGCTCCCGGTCCCTGTTCTCATGGCCTCTGTGGTGCCCCTTTCTCACTCACCCTCCCACGGCCAGTCTTTACTCTCTTCTCCATCTGTCCCTACCCTCTCCGCCCTAGGAGACCTGCACACACAGCCTGTTTGCTCGCATGCTGATGACTATCTACCTGTGCCCCCCCCCCCCCCACTCCAGGCACAAATCCCCAACAGGTCGTCATCTCCTGTGGGACGGGCACGGGACTCCGGCTGGCACTGGGAGATGGCCCCCATGTGCTGGACTCTGACACTAAGAGGTGCCCCAACCCATGACACCCACGACCGGGGTTGGTGCCCTCACTTGGTCTTGCCGTGACAGTAGGGTCACACGCAGCCTCCTGTCAGCAGCAGGAACAGCTGCTCGCCCCACTGCTTAAACCAGAATTTCAGGTGGAGCTGTGGGTGGCAGGCTGGGCTCCCCTGACCCACCTCCCACCCTCCCAGGCTGCTGCCTCTGCCTGAACGCCCCTCACCAACCCCACGTGGCCAATTCCTCAAAGATGCCTGCCGGCTGGAGCAGCCCAGCCACTCACCCTTCTTCTCTCATCGGAGGAGACTCTGTCCTGTAGCCCACACACCACAACGCTACACGCACTGGGTGTAGCCAACTGCCCCCAAGCCGGGCACACAAAAAGCACTCCCTAAGTACCTGTGAGTGGCGAAACGCATGAGAAGCACGCAGTCTCGCAGGGCGAATGTCAAGTCCTCCAGGGCGAGAATCTTGGTCTGTGCTGCTCAAGCTACCCCCTCCCCCAGTGTGGACAGCGGGGACTGACAGATCGCTGGCACCCAAACCTTTGATGAAAAGCTGAGAGGGATCCCAGTGGAGCTTTCCTCATGAGGGTTATCAGACCAAAATGAACTCGCACATCAACAGGCCCCTTCTCAAGGGCGAACCCAAGCCATCAGGCCCCTGTCCTGTCCACTTTCCCTTTGGTGCGTTCAAGATCACAACCACCTCCCTCCCCAGTGCCCCGGCCCCGGCCCTCCCTCCTCACGGCCCCTTCCTGCAGCTCTCTTCACCCCAAAAAAGCACACCGGCATTGAGTCCTGGAGAAACCCAAATGAAGTCGCTCACAGAACAGGGCTGCCAGTAGGTCTGCAATGCTCCATCCGCCAGCTCGACCCCACCTTGTAGGACAGCCCACAGACATCTCGCACACGGCTTGGCTAAGAACGCTCACACACAGCTGCCCCTGATGCCCTGCCCTCTGGTCACTCCGGTCAGGGCACGGACCTCCTTTCTAGCCTCCCCCCAGCAGTGGGACTGTGCCCCCAGGGAGTCCGCAGTTGTGACTCTGGGCGGTCTTGCAGAAGCCTCAGCGGCGGCTTCCGTTACATAAACACACTAGTTCGTCGTATGTGGTGACAGGGGGCCAGTGGTCAGCTCTGATGGACTCACGTGTGCTTCCGGTGGAATTCTAAAATCTTTTCAAGAGAATGCTCCTGACTGGGCAGGTACTCATTGGCTTTGAGGTGCTCTCGGTCCAGGGTTTCATCATAATCTCCTATTTCAGCTGAAATGAGACAGTAACAGTATTCTTCAAATAAAGAAAAATACAAGCATTCGTACATGCAAATGCATGAATTAAAAGTAGAAAAAAATTATCCTAAATCTGTAGTAAAAGCATATATCCCTCAAATAAACAGGATTTTGTATCTTATTTTTCCACATATCTTAAGCTATTAAAGGCAAATATAAAGCCAGGTAAAGAAGCTTCATCCTGAGTTCTGAAGAACAAAGATGCTGGTGAGTGACTCCAGGGAGGCCACCAGTTTATCCTGAGCGGTTTGTTGTGTCTTAAACCACGCTTTATTCGTCTGCAGTCTCAAGACTGTTGTAGCCAGGAATAGGTATCTTATTTTATTTGTTTCAGGATAACGTATTTGAAATCATTTTTTCCCTCAGGGCCTCTCAAATTCTTGAGGAACAATGTCTCTTTCTAATTTCATGAACCTTGAGGCAACTCATGTTTCAAGAGTCACAGTTAAAGCCCAATAACCTTAAACGATACACTTCTTTTTTGTTTTGAGACAGCCTCAAATTCACAGAAAGTTGCACGCACAGTGCCCCACTTTAGGGACCAGGACACTCGCGCCCACAAGCGCAGCGCCCGCCTCACAGCAGGACAGGACTCTGCCCCACTGCCGCGTCTGCGCTTCCGCAGCGGCTGCGTGTCCTCTGCAGTCAGACAGCCCAGCTCAGAGGCACCCCTGCGGGGTAGGCAGCACGCTCAGGAAAGCGACAATCCCAGAGGTGACTGTGACTGCACTCGAGCCCTCGAGCCAGCGGCTCTGGGGCACGACCGTTCACACTGGAAAGCCATCCGTCTCTCTGAGAGGACTGCAGATCCAATAAATAATCAGTCCCACCGACAACGTACATTAACAAGAGCCGACAAGGCCCCTAGTGCAGGATGGCAAATCTACGATGAAACTTGCTTTCTGTAGGTGTGTATGTGTGGGGGGAGGGGGGACAAGGAAACCACAAATTAACCTGCATACGTTCTTAGTTGCTACGATTCCTCAAACTTTCTACATTATACTTGCTGTGCTCAAACTTTCAGACACATTAGTTCTGTGCCAAGGGGACTCTAGTCCAGCAGCAGCGTGTTTCCCTTTCCTGGTCAGCTGGGGGCTTTGCAAGGCCCGGGCAAGGCATGCCCTGCTTTCAGAACCTCTTCCCACGCTGTAATTCTTCCTGTTCTGCGCCATCCCTTGCTCTGTGTGACATACTGAGAAATGTGTTCTTTTTTCTCAGGGTTTGATACCTAACTCATCACCAGGGGGGCTGTGACATGCACACCAGCGAGGTCTCTTTCCAGGGGTGCTGAGGGTCAGGGCTACCATTTGGCTCCCAGACTGAAGCCATTTATGGGAAAATGCGAGAAGGCACAAAGGAGAGACATTCCCAAAGAACGTGTGTGGCTGCCGCTCTTGGCCTGGAGCCTTTCTTTCTGGGTGGAGACTGTTTGCCTCAAGGATCTCCACCTTGCAGATGGTAATCTTCAGCTTATCAGAGGAAATGGGCCTCTGTTCGTCATCACACTCGTTAACCTTGAAGGCGCATCAGGTGCTGGCGGTCAGGAGTGTTGCCCAGGGCGGGGAGATACTAACACTGTAGAAGGTGGGATGCCAAAAGGGCGGCCGTGGTATCCGCGCAGGGCAGGCGCTCCTCCAGGAGGTCCCTCTTAAGTTGCAAGGCAAACAGGTATCTAGAAGGGAGTTCGAAACACCACAGACATCAACTCCAAAGGCTCCCGAGCATACCGCCCCCCATGTCTCCATCGCAGGAGAGCACAGAGCCCTAGGCAACAGCAGTGACCAGGGACATCAGAGCAGACGGTGAGCAAAGGCCAAGTGACCAAAGGAGGCCCTTTGCTGGTGGCAGCTCAGTGGACAGGGTCACGTGCAGCAGTCCACACACACAGGAGCACTCAGACGCTGGCCTTCCAGACACACCACACCTTTAAGGGAAGCTCACAAATTCATATTACTTCTGTTACACACACAAAACTGCACTCAACAATTCTGCTGTGAAAGAGCAGAAATATCCAATTAAGATATAGATTAAAATGCGGCTCTGAGAGTTACAGGCAGATTGAGGATACTTGGTCCTGGCTAGGATCTGAGAAGCAGGCACTCCTGAACGGTAAGAAAGGCAATATGAATGTATTCATATATTCATTTATTCCATCAACAAATAATTACTGAGTAAGTATTGCATTCCAGGTACTATTTCTGGAGTTGGAAGTACGATGCAAGACAAACTCTCTCCTTGTGGGAATTTATACTCTAGAGTGAGCTTACAACTGAAATGTGCCTACCCTTGAACTTAGCAATTTGGCTTTTATGAAGCTTTCCTGGAGAAGTATTTTCCAGAGTTTACAAAGCTATGTGGGCAAGGCTGTTTACTTGCAGCAATACAGCAGAGAGATAGCCTAAGTATGCACGGACAGGAAGAGTTCAATAAAGTAGATTATAGCACACACATTGCTGCAAAACAAACATCCACGGCACGCTACGACACGCGGGTAAGAAACAAAACAGGAGACAACCACCTACAGGACTAAGGGTATAGTGATACTGCAAAATAATTTCTTTAAAGACCTGGGTCCACTTGTATATTGCTATGAATTCATCTGGAAGACACACCTCAAGTGATACTTCTGGACACAATGCAGTGGGCAGACAGTGAAGAGGTACATTCACTTTTTACATAGCTTTATTTTGAAGTTTCTCTTCTTTTATCATAAACAGTACATTTTTCTTATAAACAAACAAAAAAGGAACTTCTGCATGAACATGGCTTGGACCCAGGACCCAGAATTAGGTAATACTTCCTATTCCTTGTTATCTTCCAAGTATATATATTTAAAAGTTATTCCCTCAAAAAGGACTTTTGGTAAACATCAGGTACGTGATACACTATGAAGATGAGTTCTGTGTTTACTCTTAAAAACACTTTTTCCTGTCGTTGGGGTTCAGTCTTGTTACCCATCAAATGAGGGGCTAGACTAATGGGATACCAACATTTCCCTACGGCTGACAGTCCGTGATTTTGTGATGTTACAAGGCTCTACAAAAACCTTCCGAAGAGAGGTTCATAAGATGCCTATGGTTCAGGTAGGAATCCATTTTTAGTCAGAAGGACTGTTAATACTAGTTCCCTTTTATCGTACATCTGATCTTGGGTTTTGAGTTGGTACATAAAACACAAGGAACAAACTTCCATAGCCTGTTGCCCAGATGAAACAACTGTAAACATTTCTTTCAGTTACTTCTGCCAAAAAAGAAATCACCTAAAATATTTCTGCTCCATATATTCATAGACTCTCCAACTCAGTCCTTCTCACAAGTCTGCGCTCAGCTGGCGACCAGCACTTTCACAATACACCAACACATAGCCGCCTTTCTGTCCCCAAATTTCACCGTAAGCCCTTTTCTAAGCCCTGCTGGCATTTGTGTTTGTGCAGCAGTTAACCGCTCTTTTAGTGCTGCATGTCGATCACCCCTTCCATGTGTGGGGCAGCTGCGTTCATTCGGGAACACGCAGGGCCCGGGGCGCCCCGGGAGCCAGGTGCTGCCAGGGACCCTGCTGGCGAGAGCTGTTGTGTTTCAACAGGGGCTCCTTACCTCGTATAGTCGTCCTGCAACTGACCCGGGTCGGGGGGGAAAAATTTCACTGCTAGACGAAGCGACGCGCCTTTTGGCCCTGTGAGAAGAAACATCTTATTTATTAAAGGACTTTTTTTTAAAGATTTTATCTGTTTGACACAGCGAGAGAGGGAGCACAAGCAGGGGGAGCGGCAGGCAGAGGGAGAGGGAGAAGCAGGCTCCCCGCCGAGCAGGGAGCCCGACGCGGGGCTCCATCCCGGGACCCCGGGATCATGACCTGAGCCGGAGGCAAACGCCTAACAACTGAGCCACCCAGGCGCCCCTGAAAAGAAACATTTCAAACTTGACAAGTAAAGTCAATCTCACTATTTTCTCAAATCTTTATATACTTTAGTGAAAGAAAAACGTCAGCACTCACTATACTGAACCAGAACAACCGGATTACTGGAAAGAAAAAGCAGAAGGTGTTGGCTCATCTGAGCATCTCCGCTTCACTGAAATTTTTACAACACAGCTGTGTAATTTTCACCAAGCAGGAAAGAGGAGGTGTTGTCCTACAGGGCCACGATGACCTAAATGGCCTTAGGCCACCAGTGACTAACAGGGCTACTAGCAACCATCCTTCTCTCTCACATGGGATCAGACTGCAGGTGAATCTGGACCCCTGGATGGCACCCTGTAACCAAGAGGCATTACTATGTGCCCCAATTTTTAAAAATTTAATGGAGACTAACAAAAATTATGTTTATAATTACAAAACAGTATAAACTATTTTATTAAACATGTAATTAAATTGTGTCAACTATACTCAAAAATAATACCACAAAAAATAAAGTTTTAAAAATTGTTAAAAAAAATTAAGAAGCTAATTAAAGGAAGAACCTCAATGCCTTTTTATAACTTGGGGGGAGAAACTGCATACTTATTTTTGCATATTGGCCAAAAATTAAGTGACATATCCAAGAGCATATCCTGTTACCACTGCGTTTGAGAACTAGTGAGTGTTCACAGCTGCCGCAGGCTGAGACTAAGCAGCAAAACAATCTCCAGGTTCACGCGCCGCTGGCAATCACCTCACTGCTCCCCAGGGTGGGGACAATGAACATCTGGACATACCTCCAATTTGAACAGTCAAGAACAAAAGCATCTTAAATGAACAGAATTCTAAAGAGTTTAAAAAAAGGACTTACTTCGTACTTGCCTAACGATGGGCTTCATAGGTTCCAGCCAAATCTAAAGAGGATTTAAGAAAAGAGATCAAATCCATTCAATGATTTCTCTATTTAATAACTGCTACAAAATACAGAACTGTTTATAACTAGGAGAGATATTTAAGGTGGGGCCGTTTTGGCCCTCTGCTCACACACCAGTCAAATCCTGACAAAACACCTGGGAGAGGCACAGGAACACCTGCTTCGAGAAGTGTGGGAGGATGATGAGACGCCACGCAGGCCCGGACCCCTCCATTAGGTCACATGCACACTGTTGTTGCTAGGCACAGCACGGGTACCAAGAATTATTTTGGGGGGGCAGCTGTTAAGGCCAAACAAATTTTTGGTACAAGATGCACCTGTAAACAACTAAGAGACAAGAGTGCCACTGCATGAGTAATGCTGACACACTTATCGAATAGGCTGATTTTGGTTTCTTTCTTTCTTTCTTTTTTTTTTTAAGTAGACTCCACCCCCAGCATGGAGCCCAATGTAGGGCTTGAACTCACAACCATGAGATCAAGACCTGAGCTAAATCAAGAGTCGGACACTTAACGGACTGAGCTACCCAGGCGCCCCTAATTTTGGTTTAAAACAGTTCCACCTATAAATATTAAGTTCCACACTTTTTAAGGTTCATCGATCAAGTAACATGAGGGATAACCAGTGAATTTCGTAAAAGTTTGCTCAAAATGATTATCATGCAGATGTCCTAGCGGTTGTTTCTGGATTTCCTTGGCACATGTACTGGTGAGGAGAACAAATTTAGGGAGGATGGGAACTCAGCTTAGCTAAAAGGCCAGTGCGGTCCATGTCTCCACGGTGCAGCTCTAGGAACAGCAATGTGATGAAGCATGGTGCCGTATCACTGCAGCGGGGCCTCAAAGGCTCTCTGTGGCCACGTGCACGGTCAGCTCTCAAGAGCTTGCAAGAATAAGGCAAGGACACGTACCCAGTAGGACCGGGGATGCTGAAACTCCAGCCCAAAGTAGTCACACTCCGTCAGGTTCAAGCGCCTCCACACCTGGGTCAGCAACGTCTGGCCATCGCGCTTAGGCTGTGAAGGGCAGGGAGGGGAACACAGGAGGATTACGTGCCTTCCCACAACATGGGTTCATGTAACAGCGTGGCATGACCCGGCCTCCTGCATGTTAAACTCCATCCTACTGAATTGCTGGCTTCACTCTGCCTTCTATAAGGCTTACAAACCATCACAAAGCAAATAAAGAGCCCAAGGCTCTTTGTGCTCAGGAACTGACACTAACATAAAGCTAGACAATTCCTTCAGTCTTATGTTCTCAGTTGTGTCCTTAGCCATTTTTTCTTTGTCACTTGAGGCATTTTCGGAATGCAGAACCCATTTTCAGCCTCAGTAAACATTTTATCAAACAATTTGATATTTACTAAAAAGGTGGGTCTCATACTCCATGTTTGCATAAGATCCAAGTGAATACGTTATTATTTGCTAGCAACATGAGCAAGAAGAGCATGGACTGTTCAAACATGAGGTGGGCAATCGGCTCTCCATTTAGAAGAAAAATGGAGTGAGATCCCTGGTCCGCACTGCTCAGAAAAATAAACTCCAGTGGACTAAAGAATAGAATAAAACAGAGACTATTTCTCCAATCTTGGGGTAAGTAAAGTCTTCCTAAGTATAGCATAAAGACAGATGTGATTAAATAAAGATAAAAAAACTTCTGAAACAGTGAACAAAGTTAAAATTTAGAATCATACTGAAACAAATTATAATTTATCTTTCGTATTGCTCTTATGAATTGGTTGAAGAAATACAAATGGCTTTTAGGCACAGAAAAAGGTACTCAAGCCCTCCAATACGGAAGTAAATGAAAACAGCGAGGTACCATTTTCCACTTCGGAGGCCTGGGAGAATGGCGTGGTGTGGCTGTCACATGCCACCGGGGGAACCCCGATCCATCCTATCTTCTGGGAGAATCTGAAACACCTCCAAAATTTAAAATGTACACATACGTCTTCGCTCCAGAGATTCCACTTCTATAACTTTCTCCTGCAGATATCTCACACAACTGCACAGAGATAAATATGCAAGGACAAATCCCATGACGAACTGATGACATACACATTACATCCATAGTTGAAACCATGCAACTCCTACCAACTCTGTATGTGCTACCGTGGAATAAAGTCCAAGCCTGATGTTCAGTCAAGAAGAAGGTTCCCCTTCTCTCCAGTGTCTGTAATAGAATTCCATTTCGTAAGACACTCACACTGCATTTGCCATTTAGTACTGAATGGGGGTGGTGGGTGGGACAAGCACTTTCACTTCTACCTTATTTACCAACTTCTGTAATGCCTAAATTTTTCATCAATGGGCATCTGTCATTTTTTAAAAGATTTTGAGAGAGAGAGAGAGACAGAGATAGCAACAGAGATATTGAGAGAGAGCACAAGAGGGGAGGAGAGGGAGAAGCAGACTCCTCCTCCTGAGCAGGGAGCCCGATGTGGGACTCGATCCCAGGACCCCAGGATCATGACCTGAGCTGAAGGCAGACGCTTCACCGACTGAGTCACCCAGGCGCCCCTGGCATCTGTCATTTTTGCAGTGAGAAAATTATGTATGTATGTGGGAAGAAAGGCAAATCTCCATTGTTCCAAAGGATATCATGTTCCTTTAAGTTGAACCAGGAGACTTTCCTGCTGTGTACCCAAGATGTGTTTACACTCCTAAAACGAGAATTCTTACGTGAAGATACAAAAATCTGCACTGTGTTGTGACAAAGAAGCGCGCAGCGAATCACAGCACAATGCGCACCTTACGGGAATGGAAAGGTGGGCTGCAAAGGGGTCCTACACTGACAACACATCTCACAGGGAACAGAAGAGCAAGTCTTCTGGATGTAAGTACTGTAACGTCACCTCTTACAAGGATCATGGTGGGGGCTCACTGTGGGGTGGGGGTGCTGGAAGAGGCACGCTGGGGCTAGCGTGCCCACTGTGCCCTCGGAGAGAAGCACAGGGCTACTTGGACAGATGTGCAGTCAAATCCCCTCAGTGGTGAACTGGTCAGAGATCACGGAAATCATGGAGTCCACTGCAACTCCTCTAACACTAAACACTCGTCCCCAGGAAGCTCTCCCACAGCCATGTCCCCTCCCCCAGACTGGAGGGGTGCGCGGGTGGGGGGCACCACAGGAGGGAACACCCTCACAGTGTGGTGTGCACTGCCCCACACGACCTGGCCTCCCCCATCCAGTGGCGACCTGGATACCCAGTTGCTCCCTCACAGGGAAACACCCTCTCCCCCTCTGTCAGTCTCCAGCGGATCCTCTGAGAACCTGAGGAGCTCATTACCTCAAAGGTAAGGTCCCCTTAATTTCAGTCAGCTCCACTTAACTGCCACATCCCTTGGTACTTATCCCTAGCACCATGCTTAGGGCGTTGTTGTTCACCTATCTATTTGGGTGCATTCCTACTACTAGATGGTCAGAGACTGTGTCATCCATCCTCGAGTCTCCAGGACCACCACATGGGTAGGTGCGCCATGGATAGGCCCAAACATCCACAACCGCTCTGCTGTGCTCAAGCCCTCCCCTCTCCTTTTTCAACCGCGTGGCCACCCTGTGTGGTGTAACGGTAGGACTAACAGCCCTACGCAAGCCCTCTACCCACAGTTAGTACAGCCTGGGCTTGGTCCAGGAGGCCTGCCCAACTGACTAAAGGATGCTAACGTGTATCAAGTGTATGGACACACTGGGACACATTCACGATGCACCAGCGTCCAAATCAGAACAGGGTTTTTAAAACTGGGCATAAAAATACATTTAATTACGCATTTCTGTTTTAATATACACACATACACAGGTATCCATACACACATACACATATGTATGTGTGTTTAGCTCCTGGATTGGAGTAAATTTTACTGAAGTAAAAAAGCTTTCCCAAGTCTATTATCCTATGTTAAGGCGAAGAAAAAGAACTTTGTATTCTGTGTCACCTGAAACACATACTGACCTCCTAAAAAAACCAGCAGAATCAGGTGTTTCCACAAACCATGTAGGGACAGACATTTCCAAAGCTATTTAAATTGGTCCGAAGTATGGTGGGTCGTGGTAGTGGTCTCTTCTTAATCTCTTTCTTGGGAAAGAACCCCCAAACTCCATACAAACACACATACGACCCAAAGAGAAAAATTCCAAGTTATAGGTATCAGTGAAAATATCCTGAGTAAGGGGCCTCCGGGTGGCTCAGTCGGTTGAGCATTTGACTCTTGGTTTTGGCTCAGGTCATGATCTCATGAGCCCCATGTTGGGCTGCACTCTAGGTGTGGAGCCTGCCTAAGGTTCTTATCTCTACCTCTCCCTCTGCACCCAACCCGCCTCTCTCCAAAAAAAAAAAAAAAAAAAAAATTGAGTAAAATACCAGCAAACATAATCCAACAACAACTCAAAGATTAATATACCATAACCAAGTAAAATTAATTAAAAAAACAGAGGATAATTCAATACAGTATCAGCACAATTATCACTATATCATATCAGATCTGTCAGAAAAAAGAATCCTAGGATTATTCCCAGAATCTGAAAAGCTGAGAAGGCATCTGATAAAATTCAATTTCTACTCTTGATATAAATTTTTTTAAAAAAATATTTTTATTTATTTGACAGAGAGACAGCGCGCGTGTGCATGTGCATAAGCAGGGGGAGCGGCAGCAGGAGAGGGAGAATCGAACTCCCTGCCGAGCAGAGAGCCCAACAATGGGCTCCATCCCAGCACCCTGGGATCATGACCTGAGCCGAAGGCAGACGCTTGACCGACTGAGCCATGCAGGTGCCCCTGTTATAAATTCTTTTTTTTTTTTTTAATAGATTTATTCGACACACAGCGTGCACAAGCAGGGGGAGCGGCAGGCAGAGGGAGAGGCAGAAGCAGACTCCGCTGAGCAGGGAGCCGTATGTGGGGCTCAATCCCAGGACCCCGGGATCATGACCTGAGCCGAAGGCAGACACTCAACCGACTGAGCCACCCAGGAGCCCCCTTGATAAATAAGATTTTTTTTTTTTTTAAGATTTCACCCATTTTTTGACAGAGAGAGACACAACGAGAGAGGGAACACAAGCAGAGGGAGCAGGAGGGGGAGAAGCAGGCTTCCCGCCGAGCAGGGTGCCCGATGTGGGGCTCGATCCCACGACCCTGGGATCATGACCTGAGCCGAAGGCAGCCGCTTAACGACTGAGCCACCCAGGCCCCCCCCTTGATAAAAATTCTTAATAGGAAGAAAAAGTGATTCTTTAACACTTAGCAAGACGAGGAGGCCACTCCCAACAGTATACGCAATCACTACTATGTGACACCAACATCAAAATAGAGAAAGAAATGAGAGGTAAAAAATCAGAAAGGAAGCAAAACTATCATTATTTGTAGACATGATAATTTACTTTGAAAACCCAAGAACATCAACTAGAAAATTATTATGAAAGAGATAGAATTCAGTTAGGTGGTGGGGGATAAATTTCTATAAATACATCAAAACAGCCTTCACTTACATACAATTAACCACCATTCTCAGGACAGAAAGGAAGAAAACAACCACATTTGTAACAGCCGCAAAAGGGCTGAAGTGTCTTAGGATAAACTTAACAAAAGAAAGCTTCATGGAGAAAGTTTTATGAGAGAAAAAGGGGACCACAGAAGGGGCGTGGAGAGGTGTAGGGCACACGGTTTTCTTGCACACAAACACCCTCACACAGGGGTCAGTGCTCCTTGAATTAAGCCAGATTCCATGCTGTCCTAATAAAAGGATTAAAAGGATTCTCTGAGGAACCTGATAGGCTAATTCTACAGTTGGTATTTTTTTTTTTTTTTACATCCAAGCATGCCAATGAAAAAGAGAAATAGATGAGGACTAGCCTTACCAGATATTCAACCTGTTGAAAACCACAGTAATTAAAATGTTTGGTACTGGTGCCTGTCCACATAGACAAATAACTAGAACAGATTAGGAGATGAAGAAATATACCCAAATATGCAAGTACTGGAGTGCCTGATAAATGTGATATTTCAGGTCAATCAGTGGGAGGAACACATATTATCCAGCAGAAACCACTTGGTGTCCCTCTGGAAAAAACAAGGTTGTACCCTTACCTCACATAATAATTTCAAGGTGAGTAAAATATCTAAACACAAAAACATCCACTCATCAAAGTCCTGCAATGAGACAGTTTTGTTTCATACTCTATGGGGGGAAAGGCCATGTTCAGGACTCGCCGGAAGTTCAGCACCCTAACAAGGGGCTTGAGAAATGGGGGACAGCAAATAAAGTGCACAAGAAGAAGCTGCCGTGGGCGCCCAGCTGGCTGGGGGCTGTGAGTTAGAGCCGCACAGTGGATGCAGGGCTGACTTAAAAATACAGTCTTTTTTTTTTTTAAGATTGTATTGATTTATTTGACAGAGAGAGACACAGCGAGAGAGAGAACACAAGCAGGGAGAGTGGGAGAGGGAGAAGCAGGCTCCCCGCAGAGCAGGGAGCCCGATGCGGGACTCGATCCCAGGACCCTGGGATCATGACCTGAGCTGAAGGCAGTCGCTTAACCAACTGAGCCACCCAGGTGCCCTAAAAATACAGTCTTAAGGGGTGTATCTTAAGGGGACTGAGCTGGGTGGCTCAGTCTGTTATGTGGCCAGCCAACTCTTGATTTTGGCTCAGGTCATGGTCTCGGGGTCCTGGGATGGAGCCCTACATCAGACTCCTTGCTCAGCGGGGTATCTCTTTGAGGATTCTCTCTCCCTCTCCCACCGTCCCTCTCCCCTACTCGCAGTGTCCCTCCCTCTCTCTCAAATAAACAAATCTTAAAAAAAAAAATCTTGGGGCGCCTCGGTGGCTCAGTTGGTTAAGTGTCTGCCTTCGGCTCAGGTCATGATCCCAGGGTCCTGGGATCAAGTCCCGCGTCAGGCTCCCTGCTCAATGGGGAGCCTGCTTCTTCCTCTCCCTCTGTCTGCCACTCTGCCTACTCGTGCTTTGTGTCGAATAAATATATAAAATCTTAAAAACAAAATAAAAACAAAACAAACCCAATCTTAAAAAAAAAAAAAGACAAGAAACTGTCAAATCAAAGACACACAGGGAGCAAACAGCTCATGTCACAGCAAAGTGCAAATTTCTTTAAAACACACCAGACTGCAAGGGCGCCTAGGATCGAGCCCCACATCAGGCTCCCTGCTCAGCGGGGAGTCTGCTTCTACATCTGCCCCTCCTCCCTGCTTGTGTTCTCTCTCTCAAATAAACAAAATCTTAAAAAGAAATTAGTAAAACACACCAGACTATAAACACCAGTAAGTAAAAAGATTATGAAATGATGAGAACAATGGGCAAAAGGACAGGCTGTTCACAAGCACAGAAGCCTAAGTGATGCTTGCACACACAGAGAGGCTTGCTGCGAGTCATGACCAGAGGTGCATGGGTCAGAATCAGGCGGAGGCTCTCGTGGTGTTGATCAGAACTCAGAGTCTGACACGCCATGTGAGCAAGCGTGGCCAAGTACTCCCACATAGGGCCGTGGGCAAACTGCTGCCCCTGGTGCTGTGCAGGCCTGGTGGGAGCTACCTACTAAAATCTAAATGTCCACACCATTCTCCAAAAAATCCCACTCTGAGAAGAATTTCACAGGTGCAAACCCATGCATATAAAACAGTATTTGTTACAATAATGCTTCTAATAGCAAATGATTAAGCTACCCTAAATCTACCCCGACAGGACAGGTTAATAAACTGTGGCACATCCAGGGTTACACAAAAATGGAAAGACCTCCAAGATACACTGTTGAGGGAACAAAGCAAGGTGTGGGGCAATGCATATGCCACCATCTGCGTGGGGAATGCACACACAGATGTAAATACGCAGACACACATACATATGTAGGTAAACGCTCTGGAAGGAGCACAGGAACTGGGGATGGTGGTTGTTTCCAGAGAACTAAACGGTGTGACTGCATATCCTTCTGTACTTTCTGAAATCTGTATCATCAGCATATACTAACCTATTTTTTAAAAAGCCTATGTGATTTTTTAAAAATAAAAAGTGGGCTCAGTGTGGGCTGAGGAAGTGGGCTGTTTGTACACAGGGGCCAAGTGCAGGATA